CCAAACACTCAAATTTTTCTGTCCATTAGTAATCTGAATTTTGATGGCACGTTTATCCAATTGTGGATGCATCGCTTCAAAAGATTTGTATGACTACATGGATTCTGGGGGGTGTAGGTTGTAAAACCTGCGCAAAAGGAGTGGAAAATTGCTCAATTAGACCAATTGAGGTAATAAGCTACATTGTTAGATTACAAAGGATACATTTTTTATGGAAGGAGCATTTGATTACATGCTATAGTTTAAATTTTAACAATGCATAAAGTGGATAAGTTGTAATATCCTATCTGTAACCTTGAGAATGCTAATTGTAGTTCACACACTGTCACTAGTCATCTGCATCCATGTTAAACCCATGCTTAGAGATGAGGGTTTCAATTTTCTAAATTTGTTTTCGTCTATTTAAAAAACTACTAGAAACTTCAACTAGTTGTTTGATCATTATCCTGATTGTTGCTACCAACATAGAATTTGGTTGGGGCTTGGCTGTTGTGTGGCTCTTGTAGGTTGGATCAGGTAACCGAGGACTAGTTCTAAACATTATATTGGTATTTTTTCCTTATATGGGGAGAGTTAAGGGTAATGGTCCCAAGATCTTTAAAAAAAAATTGTTCATCACACATTTTGGCATCTCAGAACTTTTTTTCATCTATTTGTAACTTTTATGCAGATTCCAATTGATGATGTTCCTAATGGATTTGGCACATTGACAACACTAGCCAATCTGCCATCCTCTAATGTTGATAATACAAGGAATTGCAACAGCTTTGACATGGAGCAGTTCACGCGGTTGAGCAACACTATGGAGGCAAATCAGCCCAGCCTCTTCCCTCAATGTCAGAAGGGTGATGCTAATGCATCTAATGGGTTGGTCAAACATGAAGAGAAGATACTGCCTGCAAAGGAAGTTGGTATAGGCTTTCCGAATCTCACCCAACAGTCTGTTGGATCATCTATATTTGCCAATTTAAGCAACAGTAGACCAACACTAGGCCTTAAAGATATGTACGAGTCACCAGCTCAGCCGTCCTTGAATTTCACTTTGAGAACTTCTTTGGGCACTCCAAATCCAATGCCTCCTTTTCCTGGTGGGGTTGTTGAAGGACTTGAACAGAACAAAGTGCCTACCTTTCAACAAGGGCAAAGGACAAGACATATATCACCCAAGCCCCTCAAAACTGGCCTCAATATAAGCTCAGAGGCAAATAAACGGATGGTCTCTCAGACACGCATTGCGAGGCCTCCTGCTGAAGGACGGGGCCGCAATCAATTACTCCCTAGATACTGGCCTAGGATAACAGACCAAGAGTTGCAGCAGTTATCTGGAGAGTATCCTTGATTGTGTCTTTTTTCTTCATTTTTTGGAGTTAGTTCATGTTGTTGTTATATCGGCGTGTTGATATCCTTTTCCTTTTTATTTACCGATTCAAATGTGTTTTCACCTTAAATTAGTTATCTTCAAGTTTGAATTCCACTATTGTGCCGCTGTTTGAGAAGGTTTTAAGCGCCAGTGATGCTGGTCGAATTGGTCGTTTGGTCCTACCCAAAGCATGTGCCGAAGTATGTTTTTGCTTCATTTTTTTTTTCCTTCTTTTTTCTCCACGGCGATCAATTCATGCAAATGGGTAATCGTGCAGGCTTATTTTCCTCCCATTTCTCAATCAGAAGGTGTACCAGTTAGGATTCAGGACATTAAAGGGAAAGATTGGACATTTCAGTTCAGATTTTGGCCTAATAATAACAGCCGGATGTACGTTTTAGAGGGTGTCACCCCTTGCATACAGAACATGCAACTACAAGCTGGTGACACTGGTATGCTTTAGGCCATTTGTGCTTGAATGTGATCTATGATTTGCATTGTTGCATCAGATGTATTAGTTACATCATCATTTTATGTCCTTTTAAACTAATTAGGATGTGAAATCACTGTAGCAAAAATTTACTCTGTTAACGAGTACATACAATCATTTGGATCCAAATACAGAGTATCAGCAGTTCTGTTGGGTGTCATCTATCATATTGTCATCTATCATATTTCATTTCTTGTTTTAAAGTATTTGGCTTTAATGGTTTTCTGCAGCTAGTCCTATTTGCTCCTGTTTGGATGACTCATTGTTTCTTATGGTCACTGGTTCTCTAGGTACACTAGTGATGGATAATAGGTGTATGAAACTGCTTATTTGCACTGTATCCATAACTCTTGCTCAACATGTTTGTGTTTTCACTTCATTGTGGATTGTTCACTATGAATTTTTCATGAGATTTTGAAAATGACAATCAATCATACTCCATGTGCTTTATGTTCATGGCATCTATCGTATTTCAGATCTTTGTTTAAATTGCTAAATTTATCATTATATCTGTAATATAATATCTCCATTGAAGTTAATCTACCCCCACATCTTTTAATGCATTATGGATCCTTTGTTTTTAATTTAGTTAGTTCTTTATGTTCACAGTGACATTTAGTCGAATAGATCCCGGAAGCAAACTTGTCATGGGATTTCGGAAGGCAACAAATGTTGAGATGCAGGTCAAGCTTCACTGAATTGTTCTCTCTTCCCCTATCTACATTCTTTATGTTCTTTTTCCCTTGATATGGAAGCAAACTGATATGAATTTTTTATTGTAACAAATAGGATGCCCAAACATCTTCCCTTCCTAATGGCGGTCATTATGGTGAAGCTCCATTTTCTGGTGTCAATGAAGACTTGCCTAATGTAAGTGATTTCTCTGCCTTTACCAATTGATAAAAAGAAGCTAGAACTCTTGCATTATGCCTATGTCTAAAATTTCATCTTGGTTGATTGGGATCCTTTTAATTCGAAAAATATGTGAAGAATGGAGGCAGAACAAGTGAGGATTTGTTGGAGCGGCCCATGCCTATTCTGGGGAAGAAAAGGACTCGAAACATTGGGTCTAAAAGCAAGAGACTGCACATGCATAGTGAAGATGCTATGGAGCTAAGAGTCACATGGGAGGAATCACAGGAGCTGCTGCGTCCACACCCAAGTGCCAAACCAACCATTGTCATGATTGAGGACCATGAATTTGAAGAGTTTGATGTAAGCTAAGATTGCCTTTGGAACAGTTCACTTTTGCTTTAAAGATGTCCATGCCCCTATTGTTTTATTTGGAGACAAAATATACTCTGGAATGATACTTTAGCCTCTTGTGGGTTTTGAATCTTAATGTTTTATTTAGGAACCACCAGTTTTTGGAAAGAGGACTATATTTAGAGCCCGAGCATCCGGGTATGGTTTCATAATTTATTTTCTCAGATTACATTTTTTTATGTTGTTTTATCATTTGGTCATCTCTGATCCTATTATATGGTCTATAGATTGGAGTCCTCTCCAATTAGGGTAGTTGGAAGATGTTCTAACTACCCTTTAAATGGCCTGCCTCTGGATACATCAGCAAGTCCACTTTTTTGAGTGAATTTGTCTTTGGTAGACTTGCGTCCAGTCCAGATCCAGACCAGCCAAGGGGTTCTTGGAAGATTATGCAAAGTATTTCTAATTGGAGAGCAACATAATCCACTGGACTGGAACCATGGTAATTGGTCCTATTTGGGAATTTATTACTGAATCTTCTAATGTTGGAGGCATTTTTTAATGCTTTAGAAGCTTTCTTTTCAAGATGCCCAAGTCTTGTGCAAACTGACAAACAAAAGTTATGTACATGGGTGGAGCCAAGTAGTGTTGAGCGATATCAAGTAACCCCACTGTAATTCCACAAAGTTATGGATTCTGTTGAAATTGTTTGAAGGTTATGCAATTTTTTTCATAATTGACACACTTAACTCTCTTAACAACTAAGAGACGCGGGGAGTTTCAGATGTTAGAAAGTGGTGAAAAAGTGAATAATAATTTTGAGCCTGTTGAAATTTTTTGAAGGTAAAGCAATTTTGCCATGATTGACCCCCTCAAGTCTCAAAAGTAACAACTAAGAGACGAGGGGTCAATTTCAGATATCAGGAGGACTGAACCTGTTTTGCTTTTTCTCTAAATTAAAAGAGCAGAAAGTAAATAAGTGAAAAAAATGAGGCAAATGAGGTACCAGTACCACTTATGATGGAATGAACTTCATATTTTTGGTGAATTGTTATGTAATGTATGCCTAATAACTGGAAGAAACCACAGGCTTATTTCATGAAAATATGTTACAATCCTCAAGAAAAAATGGTTCAAGTTTTTAAACATCTGGCAAATGATTGTACCTTGTTTAGCATCTGGTTTTGATTACCCTGTGGTTTGATATTAGGTGAGAAACCGAAGAAGAATGTATTGGGTTCCATCTTTTGTAGCTTATGTATTGTCTTAGGAAGAAACTACTTCTACCTAAACTCCTATGGCTTACTTATGATTTGGAATATTAAAGTGATTACTGATTTGATTCATTTTATAGTATATTGATGTCAACACAAGTTACTATTATGTAGTTTATTTACGAAATTATATAATATTGAAATCTAATTGTACATGTCAGTTGTTTTTCGAATGTACCCACTGAATGAAAATTCTTGCTTTGACATTGGTTGTTATGAATCATAAAAGTAAGGAAGGAAGAGGCATATTGGAGAGATGTTGTGGTTTTGGTTTCATTCTTTTCTTGTTACTTCAATTATTTCATTTTCTCATGTGTTGTTTATCATTTCCGCCATCAACGTGGTTCTAGTGACATGAAGAATGAACTAGTTCTTACTGATCCTCTTGACTTCCTGTGCTGCACGTTTGAGAAAATTAGGATCCCCCACCCTCTCAGTTGAGTTTCATTATTTCACTTGGAATATGCATTTACTGCAATTATCCAGGGAACAGGAACAATGGGCTCAGTGTGATGATTGCTCGAAATGGCGAAGGTTGCCTGTTGATGTTCTTCTCCCTCCAAAGTGGACATGTTCTGCAAACATTTGGGACTCACATAGGTATTTAGCATTTTATTTACTTTTGGCCGACTTTTGGGAGATGATAAGATTGTCAATTAATCTCCATTTTCAATATCGATGAGCTGTAAAATGTGCCTTAGGAAGGTTTATATCCATTTGGTATAATGAGATTATCTTGTCAGAAAAGAAAAGAACAATATGGGAATATTCCTTACGCTCTTTTCTTGTGATGTCCAGATGCTCATGCTCTGCTCCTGATGAGATAAGTCCAATGGAAGTAGAAAGTTTTTTCAGAGCTGGGAAGGGTATGAATCAAGTTTCTTCTTTTTTTCCCTCCACATTATGATGAACACGTCTCTCTTTTTTTCCGGGGAAAAAATTCTGTTTAAAACATGATTTTGATTTTTGAGGATTAGACGGTAGAGACAAGTCCAATGCAGGCGATTCCTTGTATCTCTCAAGAATGCCCGAGTGCATCTATTAACGGATCTGAAAGCATGCTGGCTGCATTATTGATGCTTAATGCATACCTACAATGTTAAATAGGATCAAGGACATCAGTTTTGTGAATAGGTGTTTAGGTGATAATTTGATTCCAGTTCTACACTACAAGACATCTGGTAAAATAGCTGGATTTGCACAGTTATTTTCTTCCATATTTTCAGGGGAAATGAAGTGTCTGCATCCTGTTGTTGTTCATTGACAATTCACTGACATTTAATTTTCTTTTGTCAAATACATGTTGCACAAGCAAAAATTTGGAAAGAATTTCCTAATTTTATGTTGAAGAAGAATTATTTTCTTCTTTGTTTCTTGATGTGTTATATAAATGTTCTATCCTAGGTGTGTCTCACTCACATATACTATATCCACACCCAATTTACATCCCATGAACATTGCCCATGTGTCGTTTTAAACGTATTCTTTGGGCATTTGTTTATGCATGTTTTAGAAAAGTGGTGAGACGATAATTTAAGTTTGAGAATCTAATTAACTAGCTTTTTCATAGATGTATGATCCAGTTCCAAGGCAAGTTGACGTCAAAATTGGCTGAATTTTCAAAATGTCATAGCTGCGTGTCAGACCAGTAGACCAGATATCAAAGTTGTCTCATCAGCACAAAAGTTGCTCATCTCTCTGTTACACTCACCCATCGATTTCTTTGTTCCATGAAGCTTGTCGTTTTTCTTGGCCAACTTTCTTCCCCAAGAGATTCAAAAAACTTGGTGGTCGTTCTCTAACTTCTCAATTTTTCCCCAGATTCTAAGAAGCGAAGAACCACAGGAAATAAGGTAGCCCAAGAATACGAGCCTTCTGGCTTAGACGCATTGGCCACTGCAGCAGTTCTTGGAGACAATGTTGGTGACCAAGGTGAGCATTCAGTTGGAGCCACTACCAAACATCCCCGGCATCGTCCTGGCTGCACTTGCATCGTGTGCATTCAGCCCCCAAGCGGAAAGGGCAGGCACAATCCCACTTGTATATGCAATGTGTGCAAGACTGTGAAGCGCCGCTTTAAAACCCTCATGCTGCGCAAGAAGAAACGGCAATCAGAACGCGAAGCAGAAGTTGCCCAGGGAAAGGACCAGAATCACCCTAAGGACGAGTCAGAAACGGATGTTGCATCTGGACTTGCATTGCTGCATATGAATCATTCCGAAAATGAAAGAAGCCCGAGTGGAGTCCAAATGGAGGTTGCTGAAACCAGCAAGGGACAATTAGACTTGAATTCCCATCCCAACCGAGATGAAGACATGTTAGCAGAACCAGCTGGACTTAGCATGACAAGCCTTGTTCATTCCCCGAGTCATCAATTGGAGATGTATTTGCAGCGGAATGGGCTTGGAAATTTCGTCTCCCGTTTAGTCTCAACAGCTGGTGGTGAGAGTGAAGGCCGCCCACCTGATGATGTCCGGCGAGCAGCTGTTGCCAGCGAGCAGCAAGACAAGGTTGATGAAGGGTGATCATCTGAGACCAACTAAACTGTAAGAGTTTTGTCTTTCTTTCGTTTGATTACATGTGTATTCTTATTTTTTTTATGTGAGCATATCTATCTATAAACATACCACATGGTTGATGATTTACATCCTCACAGTTAGGGAGTGCACTCAGTTTCTGTCTGTAAAAATTTCAGCTACTATCCCTACTAGATTTCCCTAACTTTGGGTACACTATATACATTTCCCGAAATTTCTTCGACACTCTCAATTAGTTTCTTTCTCTTTACTCACGTGAAAACAGAAATGATTGTTTTATATATTTGACCAAGCAATGTTTGTATGTTTACATTATAGTTGTTTTTTTTATGGTTACATTATATACATGATGCACACACATACCAACTAGTAAGAAAGAGAAAAAGGGGGGGGGGGGGGGGGAGAAAAGAAAGGATCTTACTGGCCCTATGTAATCTTTTAGTCTTGGCAGTTGTATTTGATGGGCATAAGGTAGAGTAGAGGGGTTTCTTCTTGACAATTGTTAAAAGCTAGATTTCATACAATGAGAGGTTATAACAAATTTGGTGACCCATTCAATGGGGATGTTGGATTGGGTGAACTGGTACGACCCTAGCCCTCCCAATTCAACTTCCAGCATTTTTCATTTAGAACGACTGTTTTTAGATTTTAACCCGCAATCTCTCAGCCCAAAACATAGGCACACCAGACCCGTTAAAAAATCCACCCCATCATAAATATTTGAGTAAATTACACTAACATCCCCTGATATTTAGTTTTATTACATGAATACCCTCTCACATTTCAAAAATTACACTGAAACCCCAGTAGTTAGATGTACTTAAACTGTTTTGATAAAAAAAGACTACTTTCCCCCTCTTTTAACACAAATTCAAATCCAAACCCCAAGTCTTATCTCTAATCCTAATCTTCGCTGTCATCTTTGCCACCCCAAGGTCTCTCTCTCTCTCTCTCTCTCTCTCTATATATATATATATATATATATATATATCTTATGCCCAAAGCGAAGAATCAATCTGAAATCGCCGAGGTATCGGTGAAAATTGATGAGGTTTCAATGGAAGTTAAAGACAAGATGAACATTGAAGAGGGTATGGAGGAAAATGTTGTGGTGATGCCGTTTCTGGAGCCAGAGGTGGAGAATAGTTTATCCTTCATGTCTGTGAAGATGGTGACGGATGGGGTTTGTGCACAGTGGTGTCAGTGCAGTGGTGGTGGCATGCGTTGCAGTGGATGGCGGAGGCTTGCGTTTCAATGGGTTCATTATAATGGTTGCAGTGGGCTTGTTGCAGTGTAGTGGTGGTGTTTTGTAGTGCAGTGGTAGTGGTGGCAATGTTATGGCAGGGGAATAGATAACCGAAGGAAGGGGATTTTGACGAATTTTGAATGGTGGAACCACTGGTGAAGGCTGGCGGGAGGATGATGGCCAGTGGTGAAAATTAAATTATTAATTTGATAGAGTATAGGTTTTGGGGTGTTTGACTAATTCTGACTAATTTTTTTATAAAATTCATTAGTAATTACTTGAAATTGAATGAGTAGTTGATTAAGTAATTAATGATTTGAGTGGATGAATTTTTTCTTTTTGGCCAACTTGAGTGGATAATGACATTGATAAATTGTAGATGAAATATTCCAGAAAAAGGGGGTTTGGTGGTGTTTGACTAATTTTGACCATTTTTTTTGTAAATCTATTAGTAATTAATTGAAATTGAATAATTAGTTGATAAACAATTAATGACTTGAGTGGTTAATGACATTGGTAATCTATAGATTATTTGGAATTAAATAATAATTACATTTTAATTAGCAACTTATTGAATTTGGTGATTTGTAGATTATTAGAAATCAAATAATAAAATTTTAAGAATTTCAAAATCATGATTCGTATAATTCTAGCTAATTATTTGAATATCGATAGGTGAGAAGATATTCTTATCTTTTCGCCTTTTATTAGTGGATTAGTCATAATTCGTGCCTGAAGGCACTATAAAATATAAAATTTGAGTGTTCAAAAAATTGATCCCACTATATTAAATTTTTTTAAAATATATTAACTACAAATTAATTATATATTAAATGATTAAACATATGATATAAATGAGTGGTATAATATTTTGAGGGAGGAAATATATAAATAATTAAATATGTGATTGAAATGAGTGATGTGATTTGACGTTTGAGTTTGACAAAGGGATAATGAGTGAGGTAAGTGATTGATGATGATTTTGAGGAAAGAATATAATTGAAATAAAATTCAAACAGACTCTTATTTTATTATATAGATTAATATAGTCTTCCACTTGGTAGAAGGGTATGTTGGGTATTTTCTTTAAAATTTTGTTGATGATGTCATCTTCTTTTTGTACTTGTTTGGATGTCTATTATATGGAAGGGGTGCGACAGTGCACTCGTTTAAATGTCAAGGGTCTCAATATAATTTTTGAAACATGATGGGGTGTTTGTGTAATAAAATTAAATGTAAGGAAACATGATTGTAATTTATCCTAAATAATTGAGCGACAGATGGACTAAGGGGCAGGTGTCTTACCTGCACGTGGCCAGTCAGTTTTATAGCGCAAACTTGGGCCCGGCTGACCTGGACCCTCCGGGCCATGGACAGCCCTAGCCTGAGAGTTAAATAGAGATAACTTACCACGAGCACGGCCTTTATATGTTGTTTGGTGAGATGATGGATACCCTGTTGTTGGCTCCATGGCTAAGCCTAGCATGCATAAATGCAGTCTTGATAATCGAGGTTAACGGTCCGCCTAATATTCACCGTCTTACTGTTAAATTTTAACATTGTATGTTTAAATCTCATCGTCCTCCTCCCTAGTCAACAAAAAAAAAAAAGTCTTGAAGATTGGTGTTGGCTTAGCTGGATCGAGATGTTCATCAAGTAGTTGGGTTGCTGTGAATGAAGTATTTAGAGGGTCTTCAATAGTGCCCTTCATTTAATTTTTATGGGTGCTCCAATAATTGGGTTTGTCTTTTGGTAATTCAGAGGTATCAAATTCACTCATTTTTCAAATTCTCTAAGGGTTAACAACTTTTATTTTTTTGGAGACATGTTCTAGACCAACCAGGGGTGGCTCAAACCAATTTAAGGCCTAAAACAGAAACATTAAATGTATGTTTTTTTTTATTTTTAGTATTATTTTTAAAAAAAATTTAATTTATTTTAAATTTTTTATGTGAGAGAGAGACAAAAAAAAATGTGTTAATGTTGTTGAGAAAGAGATTTCAACTTTTATTTTTGTTTTTTATCACATAGAGGGAGAGAAAGTATTTAATTTAACTTTTTTTTTAATTTTTTTTATTAGAGAGAGATAGTGGGTGAGAGTAAATATAAGTTGACTTTTGAGTATTTTTTTTAATTTTTAAGTTTTTAATGTTATAGATTAGATAATAGGCCAAAATTATTGCAATAAAAATTTTGATTTAATTTAATTTTTTGGGGCTTTTTTGTAGGGCTTAAAATTTAATGAATTTAATTTTTTTTGTGGACTAGTGATGTACCTAAAATTATGGGGCTTAAAACCCATGCTTTTTTTTTTTTCATACTGTTGGCTGACCCTAAGACCAACTCAAGGTACGGTGATCAGTCGTTAAGCTCGAGAGATAGTTGGCGCAAGTCTGGACAACTTGTAACAGATCATTCATGTCGAGATTAGAGTATTTATGAGGATGTCTCAATTTATAACTCATCTTTATTATTACTAAAACTACCATTGAAATTATAATATTAATATTTTATAAATAAAATATGCAAATAAAATTAAAAAAAGAGTTACACGTAGTCACTTAAAAAGAGATAAAAGGTATTATAGACATTTTAAAAGTGGACTCCAAACGCCTAGTTTCTCTTTAATTATCATTGCATGCACCAGTAATGCTATGTTGATCAAGTTTTGGGATCAAATTTATAATTTAAATGACATGACAGTATATTATTTGGAGTTTTTATTGGGGCCCAAATGACATGACACCAAATAAAAAAGCTCATGTTAGCTATCATGTTATTTAAATTATAAATTTAATTCTAAAATTTGATCAACGTAACATTCCTATTGCCTGCGCTGGCAAAATGAGCAAACCATTCTTCTTCTTATATTCTGACGTGTTACTTCGTCTCTCTATATCTCATTAACTACCAAACTAATTTTATATTTATAAAAAAATAATTATTTATACCTAATTTAATAATTTTATTTAGTAACACAATGAATTATAGTCATTGAATTGATAGTAAGTCCATTATCAATCTAATAATAGAGAATGATAAAGTCACCAAATAATATCACTAAAAAAACTCATATTTATAACATGCATATATCAAACTATCGTACTAAAAATTAATTTTACTTAATTACTTTTATAAACAACGAGTACAAATACATTGGACTGAAAGTTACAACTGCAAATCAGATTCGATATGGTACTGAAATAATTTTTAGTGCATACCATAGCCTTATTCATTTATGTAGATAACTCTGCGTACTATTACAAACTTATTTGTATCCCTCTATTCCTAAATATTTATCGTTTAAGGTTTTACACAGGGATTAAAGAAACTATTAAATAGCTCTAGTATGAGTAAAAAATAATTGAAGAAAACTAAAATACCCTTATTCAATACATATCAAGAAGAAAGAAAATATGAAAGATACTTAGCCTACACTTAATCTATTAAGCACTTATTGAAAAATAGAGATAAATGTAAATTTGGAAGTAAAAATATTAATTATGATTTAATTTTATAAAATAATAAATATTGTGAAACAAAAAAAGTTAGGTAAACCGACGTATATTTAGAAACGTTGAGAGAGAGAGTATATAAGAAAATTCAAGCTGCAAGATACAAATTTTCGCCCAAGAGTGGCTGTGCAAGAGCTAGCAGTGGGTGAGCTAGAGAGAGATCAACCTCTGACTCTCTGAGTCTGAGGTCAGTACTTGACACAGAGGGTGGCAACTTCCAAGTGAACCCTTGAAGAAGCCTAGCCAAAAGCATGGCAGTCATGGTAGAACCCAATGTCACCCCCGCACACCCACGCCTTCCTGTGCTAAATGAAAACATTTTCGGCTCTGGGTCAGAAAGCCCCACCTCCGAGCCACCGTCCTTCAGGTGGCGCTCCGGCTTGAACTTGAGTGGCTCCTCCCAAACTCTCGGATTGCGGCCAAATCCCAGTCGGCTCAGCAGCACGTGACTACCCTTAGGGATGAAGTAACCGGCGACGGTGGTGTCGGCCACTGACACATGTGGAACATTGAAGGGTTCTATGGGATGAAGTCGAAAGGCTTCTCTGGCGCATGCTTTCACGTAATTGAGGTGTGGCAAATCGGACTCTTGGACTAGTCTCTCTTTTCCAACCACTCTGTCTAGTTCTTTTATGGCTTTTTCGAAGGTCTGGGGCTGATTTATCATCTCTGCAAGTATCCATTCGACGGCATTTGATGGATTGTCCACTGTTGCTAACATTAGTTCCTGTGAACACCAATTAATTTTTTAGATTTCCTATAAGTATTTACTGCAACCATGGCTCTTTAACGAGATTGTGTTAATTTTATAAATCCAATTTTTTAAAGGGTAGTTTTTGTACTTTACTTGTGGGCTTATGATGTAATATTGAAAAATTATGTTATTAGATGATATTTAAGCATGTTTAGGGTCTTTTGTGCATTTGACGGGGCAGCCATTAGAAGAGTCCAGATTCATGAGGAAGAATTGTTCGTGCACAGCAACATGGAAAGCCAAACTGACGAAGGCTGTCCACCTGTTCACTGAAGTCGGTTTACAGCATGAAAAACAGAATATAAAAGGCGAAGAATTGGTGTCCAAAATAGAGATGGTTTTGTCCAAAAAAAAACACAGAAGAAAAGAGAGGTGTTGGAAGAAAAATCAGATAGGAAAACAAGGGGTTGTTGTCCAGAAACGCAGCAAGTATCTCCTGAGCAGAAGCTCCATTTGTGAGTTTTTTTTTGATAGCCTACTTTGTGTTTTTCTTGCTAAAAAATCAGAATAGTCTTTCTCTCTTTGTATTGCTTGATATTGTGATGATTTTTAATGAAATATAGAGGTGTTTCTTTAGTAAAGTTAGTGTGGTGCTGTAACAGATTTTTGTCCCCATTTTATTTGATTTTGTGTTTTTTTTTGGTGATCTAATTTACTTTCAACACGCAACAGATTGCACCAGTGCAAAAGCGGCATAACAGTACTCTTTTTTGACCATAAAGTATTAGATCAATGCTAGATTGAAAATAAAAAATATGAAAAAAATATGAATCAAACGAGGTAACACTATAATAATGACATTTTTCGTATCTCACTTTTATTTATTAGGACCGCTTGAATTTGAATATTTACCTCATCCACAGTATCATCCCCATTAACTGGTGCTGAAAGAATATGCAGTATTAAGTGCTCATAGTTAATTTCCAATGCCATGTTTAACATTACTACTCTCATGTGAGAGTGTGTGTTTGTATGAGAGAGAGAGAGACTTACAACAATCTGGGCTTTGATCTCTTCAGCTGACAACACTGGTCTACCATCTATGTCCTTGAGAGTAATCAGAACATCAAGCAAGTCTTCTTTGTCCTTCTTACTACCGTCCATCCGTTGCCCAATTCTTTGGTCAATTTCAGGATCATGATATTTTCTTACAGTCCCAAGAGCTTTCTTCATAATCTTCTCATGCCCATCTATGTCCAACCGTCTTAAACATGGTAAATAATCAGAGATACAAAAAGAAAAAAGGTACCCAAGAATGGTGAAAAGCCCGGCGACATGCTCTTCCTCTTCAACCCCTGGCCCTCCATCTTCCATTCCTTTTCCAAAAAACCTCTTTCCAAAGATCATTTTCCTTATAACATTACCACAGTAATGCTGAGTTGCAATTCTCACATTCACTACTCCGCCTTCCATGGTGGTTTTGCACTGGTTAAACACGTAACGAACAAGGTGATCGGCTTCTTCGTCTCTTTTGCCGTGAAGCCACCGGTGTTTCGCGGGAGAAAGCACCTCAGTAGCGAGGATTCTCCTCATTTTTTTCCATTGTTCTCCAAAAGGAACAAGAACTGCTGACAAGTAACCGTTGCTAGCAAGTTCAGCAGCCATGCAAATGGGTCTAGATGAGAAAATGGCATCTTGATTCTTCAGGAACTCTCGTCCCAATTTTGGACTAGTAACTGTGATAACATGAACGTTTCCTAGACGAATACAAGCTATTTCAGTGTTCATTTCATCCATAAGGTTGTGTATCCATCGGAAGATGGGTTTGTTTCTGAGAATTTCGGGGAGATTTCCGACTATCGGCCATGGTTTTGGGCCAGGAGGAAGTGGAGATTTGTTCTTATTCCCAATGGATTTGTATTTGTACTTGACAAAAAGAAAGAACAACATTGCCACGAGAAGAAGAATTGAGAAGGAAAAGCTCAAAAGAATTAGCGGTGATTCAATTGAGACCATATGTTGGGAGCCATGAAATAGGGTTGAGGAGTAGAAGGAAGTGACTAAGGTGTTATTGTTGATCTTCATGATCTTTTGTGCTTTGTGTGATTGCCTGCTGGCTCAGAGAGGGTTGTTGTAATGTTTGCTTGTGTGCTTGCTGGTTCGTAGTATTGGCTATTGCCTTTTTATACTGGTTTGTGCATGAAAAGAACTGCGTGAATCAATTGTGAAACATGAGATCCTCAAGTCACTTTTCAAACACGGGATCCATCGAAGACGTGGCCAAATGTCTCGACTGTTGACTTTCAATAGTTCTGGTCGTTTACGAATTGGATTGAAATTACACCCCATATACACCATTTTATCGAAGTTAAATGCCATTGGACCTTTACGTACGAAGTAATGATAATGCCACCTACAAGTTTAACATAATTTGATGATCTAATAATGCGTCAGTTGATATAGTCTAATATTTGATGTAGAAATAAGTTAATTGTAATTTGACGTGTTTTTATGTTAATTTAAAAAATCACATATTTCTATTTTTTGATAAATTCCTTAATGTTAAAGATTTTGCTTTAGTTATGGGAACTATTAGGGTTCATGTTGGGAAAATTAACATAATTATATGTAATTTTAATTAATAAATTCATATCAATATAAGATAAACAAATACAAAATAACAATGAACTTAAAACAAAATAAAATAGATACTACAAATTAGAAAGAGCTGGCCTGTGAACCCGAGAGTCGTGTAAACACTGTCCTAAAGCAACTGAGTATCCTCACGTGATGGTACTGACGGATACTAGCGACTCCAAAATTAAATCCCAGATGCTTGCAACAACACCTCTTTAATGGTACCGCCCACTAGAAGGAAAGGATGAATCTGACTCGAATCGTATGTTGTCCAAAACACAATATACTTGTAGTAATATAATTGTAGATAAAATTTAACAAGAAAGTGGACTACAGGTTGTATGCCAAGAATCATAGAGAGTGGCCTCCAATAACATGCTTATATAACTATTGTGATTTGTAACACCCAACCCATTAAAATTATATTTTAAATTCATGAAATCAACAGCCAAACAAATCCTCCTTGTAACCGAAAAGTTTAATTGAAAGTTTTAAAAACTTCTTTATAATTCTAACAATCCCCCACAAATTTTTAAAACTTGAATTTATATATATATAGAAAATAAGGGCAACAATAGTACTATACAATAAGTGTAGGTGTCTTCCGGACTTGAATCTCACTGAGTATTAATAGTTTTCTCCTGAAGAATCATAGTGACTAAAGACTTGAACTAGACCATTTGAGCCAGAGTTCAACTATCACACACATAGTACTGATATCGGTCAGGATTCGTGGGTCAATGCGTTCAAAAGTCATGCACTTGATCTTGATTCTTATGAGAGTTTTTAGAGAATAGCCAATTCTCATAGTCGCGGCCTCACGACTACTCTCACTTAGGTGAATCCTCCAAAGGTACATGTGCACAATACCCTGCAGGAGTGTTTCTGCCTTAGTCTCATTCAGGACAAATCTTTCCTTACCATCACACTACATATGTACCTCTACCATAGGGATGAGCTTGGAAATATCTCCTTTTAGGATATATTCTCAACCACGGTGCTAATAAGTTACGTAGTATCGATTGTTTCTACCCATTAAACTTCCTTCATGGGGTCCCCAATTACAGAAGTTGGGTTACCTCCCTAGGTGACTCCCTTGTAGGTTTAGGCCCATCTCCCTCGACAGTTCTTGAGACACAGCTTTTCTCAAAAACTTGACTTTCATCCAAAGCTCATTGATGAAATTAATCATCTTTCATATATTCATGTCTCATGGCTTTTCTCGAAAACTGTCTAATTATTTGTCAGCTTTGTTTGATTGTTATTTATAATCTCAATATAGAATGATCATTCTTCATAGATGAGTTACTCGTTCAGACGTGCACGCCTTATTAATTACTCTATTTGATATTTGACTTGACTTGTCTTTCAAACATCAAAGATAAACACCACATTAACATATATTTGTCTGAAAAGATTTTAAGTGCCAGCATAGGCAATAAAGATCTCAACAGATCATTGCAATCCTCATTACAAACGGACATATAACGAAACCATCTTATTAAGAAAATTCAAATTGCGAATCCAGGAGATATCTTTTTAATTGTATCCCCACATTTCCAAATTTTTTTTGCATGGGAGTTACTAATGCTTTAGCTCTTTATTTAAAATTTGAGCTAAGTAATTTCTTCAACTTGTAGTTCATAAAATGGCATTGCATCACATTGCTCTATTACCAACACATATAATTCGTGTGTTATAATCATATAATCAATATACCAGTATCAAATAGTAAAACTAGCAGTAGTAGCTTATAGCATGTCATGACCCAACAAGAATATATTCTATCTTTCAATTTTGTAAAAACTTTACATAGTCTCACTAACTAGAGAATAAATGCATGTTGAATTTCTAATTACCAAAATAAGACAGATGTCGTAGCTTGGTCAAACAAATTTAATTCATAAATAACACTCCTTATTGAGTTTCTAAAATCACATTTGTGCACTAAGCTAATTTGGTGCTATAGTACTTCTTACCAAGCACCCAATAAATATAAATTTTTGTTGCCCAACTCTTAAGTCACACCAGTTTTTCGATAAGCCCTTTTTTTTTTTTAATCTAGAAGCTCAATTGGGTGATAAGGTTTACATGTTTCAAAGAAATCCTAGAATCAATGTGTGGCATTCAAAAATTCAAATATTATTCACCATACAGTATACTAGATATTATTTGGCTTTCGACATTATAAATTAATGTCCTATTATCTAAGTCTAAAATTACATGTTACTCCACAGCAACAATTTCTTCCCATGGTAAATCATCATTTAAAATAACACATTTCAAAATCAAATATTTCCATTAATCAAAATAGAATTAACAAAAATAATTACTTTCCCATAAGTGATGTAAAACAACCATGATGGTACACTGTATGGGTTTCAACAATAATTAGTCTAATTTAGCAATACAAATTTAACTCAATATATTTTACTCTTGGGGTCTAAGTATCATTAAAGTACTAAAGTACTGCAGAAATTTCTTTGAACAAATACTTGATCATGTTTTTGAACTGTTTGAGTCCACGGGTTATAAACATATATTAGTAATTAAAAAAGTCAAAAAAATTCCAAATTTAATGACTACCGTTAGACAATAATTGTAACTTATCAGTTATAATTTCAAATAATCCATAAAATAAATTATAGCACTTCAAAATATTAAAAATCTACAATTAGTAACTGTCCATTGACCATAAATATCACATAATCAATTTTCTTGTTTATTTTAATATTCTTTAACAGAGTTTTATATGGAACCAAGCATTAGACAAATTTGAAGACTTATAAATAATACAAAGAGTAGGATATCACACCTGATCAAATGAAATCATGTTATAATCCATCATGTGTCACTCACTTAAGCAATTTCTATTGTAAAGTTAACAGTGCTTCATATAAGCCCATGGTAAGAAGTGCAATATTTTATTATATGAGAAAATTAATAGGCTGATTTTTATCACACAGCTTGTTTTTTACACTAACAATGATAGTAAAATAGATGGGTTCACACATAATGACTTAGAAGAGCAAGTAATTTTATATCCAACTTGAGATCAAGTTGACACTACTCAAGTGCTACTCAACTTTTCTAGCTCACTTCCTTTTCTTTGCTTAGCATTTACCGTTGGATTTGTCCTATCGTTGCTTTGTAATAACGGTAGATATATACAAAACAAGTGTAATTGTTACAAAGAATGGAATGCTAATATATATTAATTAATCCAAATAGGAAGTTGAAGTAACCTAAGTTCACTATTTCAGTGGTTTTCTTTAAACATGTTCACGGAGTTCATGTGAGATAGAAACATGATATGTTAGGATGCTAAAGAATACCATGAGTTGTAACAATACAACTAGAAGGTTCCTTATCTAGGTAACTTCCTTCTAGTTCATGTGGTTGTGATTATGAGTTGTACGAATCAAACTTTATGTTTTTTGTTCTATGTATATTTTTAAAACTTTTTTTTCTTCCTTCTAGTAAATACTTCTTCTAACAAATACTATCTTCTCTTGTCTAGAGTTTTTTGTATCATGAATCTACATAAGGTATAAAATAAAAAAATCTACATAAGGTTCCTTTCACTAATGTGATATTAGACTAATTAGATATCACATGTATATGTTTATGTAATGAAGTGTAAATACGTTAATCACAAAGATAATATCTCCAATAATAATGGATGTGTCCTTAATTTATAGAATAAACATATGGACACACATTGATAGATCTAACCTTCCCAAAATAACTATTACGTCTCCACTAATTTTGAAACTTTAGTTAACATCTATTTACCTCATGCTATAATATATATACTAACGTTCGAATGAAGAATTATTTAAAATTCAAGGACAAAGAAATAATAAGAGAAATGCAAAGAATTTGTATCGTATTTAAATGTCAATTGTCAAAACTCTGTTTATAACGAAATTAAGAAAGGTGTTTGAATTATTGTAATAACTCTTGAAACTTTAATTTTTTTTTCCAAAGCAAGTAGCTATATATATTTTTATTATAGCAAGTAACTACTAGTTTTTTTTTTATTGTTGTAGATCCGTTTAGATATTCTGTTACTATAAAAAAAATTCAATAAAAACTGATTTTTTTTTTCAGGAAACTGTTTTCTAGAAATACAGGAAACAATTTTTTTTTTTCAGAAAAAATTGTTTTCCAGAAAACTGTTTTTTTTTCCGAAAAACAGAAACATTTTTTTTCTTCTCAGAAATCCAGCAACAGTTTTTTTTTTTTGGGAAAAAACAGTAACAGTTTTTTTCCCAATAAACAGTAACACATAAACCTGTTACTATTTTTGTTTAAAAAAAAACGGATTTTTTTTAACAACAAAAAAAAAACTCAGTTGCTTTAGATTGTTGGGAAAA